TTAACAATTAAATATGTATTAATAAGTAATAATAAATAATAAATTAAACTTAAATTAAATACTGATTTAGCACATATGCAAAACTCAAATTCTGTTGAAAACTCTAGATTGGAAACAGGTTAGCTTGTTAGAACAACTCTTTGCACTGGAAGAACAAGGGTTTCCTTGCACTATCTGAAGGAAGCCTTTGGCCACAATGTGAAACAGGAACAGTTCTTTAATAGCCACTTCAGCTTTTCCAGATGCAGGGACTACGTATTTTTATCTGTCACATCACATTCTGCAATACTGAAGATTAAAACAGCCTTCAAATTCTGATACATCTGCATTATGAAAATATTATAATTTATTTTAGACTAGCTCTCACCAGTGTTTTCTAACACAGAGTTTCATTCTTAAATATGCTGAAATTGCACCTTAAGCAAAGCCCTAATTTACTAATGGGATATCTATAAAATTGCCTTTGTTGAATTCTGAGAGAGGAAGCATTTTAATCCCCAATTAGCTGCCTTTACTGATATAGTTTTTAAATAAGCACTACTAGTGACAGACTTGGGTGCATTCTTCATCCGACTGAAGAGAAAAAAAAAAATAGTATCTGATAAGTGTTACTTTAGATAGCAGGGCAATACTGGAAATGCAACACCTGGCACCAGGAACGCAGTAGCCGATATATTCTGTTCCTGGCGTTCAGTGACTGTGTTCGTGGAAAATCCCTTAAACTACTATGATTGCTAACCCATCAGTTTAAAAATACATACTGAATGATCTATGAAGCATTTTGGAAATGTTCAGATTAAAGTATTTAAACAGTATCAGATTACACTTAAAAGATTTACATTGAACATTTACTTGGCACTGAAGTGGACACACCAAAATTGAAAAGTTAAAACCTACAACCTTCCTAATAACTGCAGATGAGTCGTCAGTCTACTGAAGTTGGATTTTAGGTACTGCAAGTCATTTATGTACCAGAATGTCATTTTTACTTACCATTATCTTCCGTGCAGTCAAATGGCATAGGCTATTCTACTGGCTGTGTAGCAGAACTAAGAACTGCATTTCGTAACTTCCTTAGTGCAAAGAAAATAAGTGGTAAGATTCAATGTCTTTTCTACACATTAGAGACCAAAACAAGTAAAACTATTGTCACACTAACTGCAAACAGAGATACTGAACTGTCACCATTAGTCAGCCAAATGTCAGATTTCTGACACTGATAGTTTTACCTAAATGACTGTCAGCTTTGGAGTAGACACTAACATTTAATGAACATTCAGAAATTAAACAACTCTTGAACTGAAACGCATCGTGCAATTCAAGCTTTTAAATATTCAAGCCATATTTCATTACCTATTACCTACATATGGTGACTGTGTTTAGATAGACTGTCACAGATGCTTTTATTTAATAAAAGCTCTTACCATGTACCTGAAAGTCTGACCATCTAAAGATGCTTTCATGAAAACAGCTTTAAATTATCAGGGCAACCCAATGTTTCCAGATGAGCTCAGCTGTGCAACATCCACTCAAGAGCTTACCACTTAAAAACATGTATGTTTGTGGAAAAAATTAGTAACCAGTTATATATTGGCAAGAAAAAGGTATCACTACATGACACAATCACCCCTCTGTCCAAATTCCAAGTAAACTAACAAACTAGTCTTAGTGGCACTTTTCAACATATCTATCTATTGTAACAATCAAGGCAAAAGAGCACCAAAAGTCACACTCTCATTCTGTGGATTTTATAACACAAGTATAAACACTTGACAAAGTGTTGACCAGATAACTACGTGAAAGTTGGTCTCCCAGAAAAAAGCTTAAGATGAGAGCTGCTAGGAAGCTTTACATTTATATTCACTAGATGGCTGTAAAGTAACAATAATTTATTCCTTCTCCCCCCACTACGCATATTAAAGATCAAAAGAATCTTCACCTCGACTTCCTTCTCCTGTTGCCACATACCGTTTTTATTTGACAGAGCAAATGACAAAGTACACCACCTCTGGTGTTTCCTCTGCCCAACTAATGCAACTAGCTAGCCCCAGCCAAGAGATTTCAAGTGCTGTTGCTGGAGTTAGTTCAGCAAGACACTCAGCAAAGACAGACTTTTAAGTTGGGATTCATAAGCTTCAGGCTATGAACACAAGCTCAAGCTCCAACTTTACCAATTCCAATTCTTAGAACACTATGTTATAAAGTTTATTGCCTTATTGCCTACTTCCAAAACTTGCTACTCCATTTTAAACAATTAACATTTTCCACTAAGCTTTCAGTAATCCAAGGGAGGGAATAACAGCCTTAATTTTGTGGAACATATAAATTTCAACACACTCTTTTCAGAAAATGTTACATGTGTTTATGCCCATGTTGTTGTTCAGTTTTTCAGAAAACCCATAAAGCCTCCCCTCACTCATGTATGGAAGCATCCAAATAACTGCAAGGCTGAACAGAAAAGTTAAGGCTCTGAAGAATTATCAAAGACACAAGGGAAGAAGTTGCAGCCATATATAACATTACTATCCTGAAATATTAACTTGGGAATCCTATCTTCAGAGGAGGCTAAGTTTATTTAGACTATGTCATACCGCTTACTCCCAACAAGAACAGAATTAGTCCTTATTTTAGATTTTAAGACAGTACTTGGGTAAGAGTTGTACAATGCAGAAATTCAGAAACTGGTCTTAGTATCCGTAATAACAGCCTTCCTCCAAACACTAAAAACACAGAAAATTAAGTTCATAAGGGTCATAACAAATCTCTTTAAAAACTAAAACACCCCCCCAACCAAAACAAACAAAAAGCCCCCACCCCTAAAAACAAAATTTTTAGAAGTACAGTTGTATGTCCTATATGAAATCCTTCAAACAAAAATGAATATTAAAACAAGAGCATAATTTAAAGAGCTGTGTATTGGAGTGTTTATAAACCCGAAGTGTTAAGCAGCAGCAGTTTCCAATTTCTTACTGAATTCAACTAGGCTTCAAATTTAGGAACACATGATAAACCAATGTGGAACTATACTAGCTTATACTCAAACCGTTGTAGGTGTTTCAGTAAAGAAAGCCTCCTATTAGAATAAACAGAGGCAGCACAATACACTAAGTCAACACTTGCCTTCAACATGCCAAAAAGAACTGTGTGTTCTATGTCCACTTGTCACCAAAGCACCCCGTAAGAGATGCATTATTGCTGTAGAACATTTCAAGTTTACCAACACCCAAGTGCAACCAAACTGATGTTGTATATATGCACTTGCCCATTCTCACCAGTATTTCCAGACTTATTAATGAATTTTTTCTTTACACAATCAAATTTAAAGCTTTGAAAATAACATTTTTGATTTTAGTTTTTTTTCCACAATATTAATCACCACATGCAGTTCAGTTTTCTGATCATTTTGCTAAAAAACTGCACCAATATCAGAACAGTGCAAATAATATTTAATTTTAAAAGTTATAATGGCTTGAGTTCATAATTAGAGGGAACACTGTCAAGATCTTGGTATTTTGCTCACTCACCATTGCTTGCATGCCATTAAAAATACTTTCCTGTCAATTTTGCCTTTTTTTTAAGCAATAGTCCCCCATGCTTTTATCAGAGCTGAAATTAAGGATATGATCCACAATTTCAGCATATGCAGTGCCTTAATAGCAATGTTCTTCTGCACTTCCATCAACTGTTATAATTGCATAAATATATTTCCCCCCTCCCCCAAACACATTTCCAGACTAAGAACTAGTCACTAGCACTTGTGATCCCACAAGTGTTTTAAGTTTTTCAGCAATGGAGAGATTTCAAGATGAAGAAATCTGGGGACCTCCCATCTCCTACAGCCCCCAGTGTTTTCATTTTATAGCAAGTTCAAGATTGGTTTCCACATCTTGACAGTGTTCCTTATAAAACCATATGACAGTAAAAGTGCCAGTAGGCATGGCAACCTCTTTGAAGGGAGCATTTAAACTCCTTGGCACTGGGAATGCCAGCACCAAGGATTACATTGAAATTCAAAATTATTCAAAATTATACTTAAGGCTATACTTAAGCAAACCCACTTTCCATAAGTCTAATATCCTAACACTAGATTTGCAAATTCAGAAGCTAACGCAACTGTATACTTTTATGCTCAAATTTGAGGAAAAAGTTACTTTTCTTTAGCAAGGGCAGTATCTGAAACTGTGGTAGCAAATGTCTCTTATGCATTGACTACTCATTTCACCATCACTCACTTACTTTGTCTTAAAAGTTCAAAACTGGCAAGGCACATTTACATATTCCAATGAATACTTGACAATTTTAAATTACACTTCATGTCCCAGCTATCCCAGTAATTGACATACAACATACTAAAATGGTTTATTAAGATAACAAAAAAAAAATCAATTAATGTGAAACATACAGGCTATTGGCAACCACTATTCTAAAAATTATGTAAATACAAGTAAACATACTGAAATGTGTGCGATTCTAAGTTTTTAACCAGAAGGTCTCTGTACTAACACACATTTATATTAATGACACATAAAAAAAATAAAAACTTTATTACAAAAATAAGTTACACTCGCCTCCAGCTTACAGTATAAAACAATTTTATTTTCAGTAATGCAAAATGATTGTTTGCCATGAGCATTTTCAACATATGACATGTCTAATTTTGTTAAAATTTGCATTTACTGGGGGAACTGGTGTGTATAAAACCTTAATTAGGTATAAGCTTCAATTTTCATTGTGGTGCCTATGGGTATGTAGTATAACTGCAGTATCCCTTTGGGCAGGGGGTTAAGGGAAGCTCTTTGTGCCAAGTCCAAAGTAAGTTATAATTTTATCTTTTACCTATATGGAGTTGGACTTGGCAAGGTTCTTTTGTTTTTGTTTTGTCTTTAAGGGTGGTTCAATAGAGGATGCTTCACCACTGAACACTCACTGTCATCAAGGTGCTTTAGAAAATTAAAAACATAGCACAAATGATTGTACTCTACTCTACTCTACAGGTTATCATGATCTGCGTAAGAGAAATGGAAAGCTGATCCACGTGTTTTTACAGTGATCAGCAATAAGAAATGCACTAATGAAAACATACCTTTTACCTAAAAAGCTAAACTACAGCCATATACTAGTCTATGATTTATGAAAAACTTCAAAATATCCAAATGTCAGGCTTCACTGTACAGTTGTCAGTTTTAGTCTGACCTTTTATAAAGGGACACTGCAGTATTTAGTACAAGTCGCTGATGCACTTTTTTTGAACATCTGATGTCTTACAAAAGTAACATCTTGCTAAACTATTATACATCCAAATAACTACAATATCTGAAGAAGCAAGGCTGCTTTTTCAGCCACAAAATACGACAAAAGCAAGGCCTGTTATGATGGTCATGAGGAAGTCTTACAAAGCCTCTGGAACTAAAGGCAACTATGAATGTTACATTTGGTATATTATAATCTTACCCTCATATCATATTAAACAAGCCTTGCTTTTATCTACAAAGATTTTCTATGTACAGTACAGACAGGGTATAGTTCAATCCTCTGCTACTGAGGTAGTTAACCAACCCTTTAAAAAAGGTTCTGAAAAGAACCACT